GTTACTTTTTACAGACCGAAGGTCAGTTTTATGTTTTTGGATATGGTAACACGAGTGCACATGTGCCGCGTCATTGTAACTTCTGTATTATTAGCTAGGCATGGCTGAAAGGAGAATATAATAAAAATAATAAATATATATAAATGTATAATGTTATAAGATTTAAGCTATTTAGTCTATATAGTTATAATTTGTGTTCATTCTAGAATGAAAGAGGCATAATTTATATATATATTTCCTAATTTTTTATGGTGGTTATGAGATCGATCAAATCTACCAAACCCATACAGAGATTCATTACTGAAAATAACAGATAATATATAAAGTTTTTTCTTAAGAAATGATAGATAACTATCCGGACATTATAAAGATTTCGCATGTGAAATTTCAAAATTTTCTGATGCATAAAAGTATCTTTATTCTTAAAATGAAAATTACTTTGCATGTTAGATAGGCAACGTGCAAAAAGAAAAAATAGGCATGAGAAAAACATTGCTTTACAAACCTTAAGACTTAATAAAAAAAATTATATTTTGCATATGAAAGCATTGTAACGTTTACTGATAATGTGCCAAATTTCGTTAAGATTCACTTACTAATTTAAAAATTATAGTATGAAAACTATAACAAGGACAAAATGGTTAAGAAGTCTGTCCTAGGGACCAAGCCCGTGCCGAAAGAGTTAAATACTATGAAAATAGCTTGTAGTTATTTGAAACTGAATCCTCTATGTTCTTTACTGTTATATAACAATTTTTTTTCATATTATGAATAAAATATAAGTGTTTGGTTAGCTATAACAGGAAAAGAAAGCAACTACACCTAGATTTCAATTAATATTATGAATAGTACATGACATATATAAATGTACTAGTTTAAATTCATTTACTACTTTTAGAAGGTCACCCTCTTTTTAGCATATATGGGGATACTGTACTCCCTGTCACTAATTTTTGATGGTACAGTAGTCTAGCTGCAGACAAATTAATCAGTCATGTGATGGTACATGTAGTAGATAAAATTTTAACTAATGTTATTTGTTGAGATGAACTACAGTGTTGATCACTCAGTATACAACATTAAACAGTTTATAATTAAAATGATGAATTACTAGTTAACTTGTTTTAGTTTAAAAGTATATTTCCTCATATCACTATATAGCAATTTGATAAGCCATTTGAATTCACTATACCAGGTAGACAGAAACTTCTTGGCATTACTGTGTTTACTAGATGAACTTGAAGAAGTGACATTATTATCACAATTAAAAACTGACTTGGACTTTGCCACAGCTACATTTTTCAAATGCTCCATAGGCTCAAAAATATGCTGTGACTTATCATTAGTTTTTATAAAATAACTTTCAGTGGGGTAAATACCCTTTCACCAGTTATTTATATGTGGTTGTGATTGTTTGTTGGTTTTATCATTGTGAGTAACAAAAACAACCTCAGAAACTATCGAGATCACCCTGACTGACTGATTCACCTAGCTCAGTGAATCAATCAACTGGTGTACCAACTTACTGAGATGACATTACCTTCGAAATAACCTTATATTGACAAACAAGTATTGAATAGTCACCTAGACACCTGATAAGTATAAATAGAATGGTTTATTTAAAATTAGAACACTACAGAAAGCAATTATACAAACAACTTTGGCTATCATAACATACATGCATAATATTCCTTGTGTATAATAGCCATCTATTTTTTGTGTGTGTGCAATATATGCACAATTATGTTGTATTTGTTTTTTCACCTGATTTATTTATACATGATTCAGAGTCAAATATGCATAATGGTGAACACTGGCTCATATTCATAATGTCATAATATACAACTAATAAATAAACCTGAAGCACAACAACTTTTACAAATAAAATATATTATATTTAGAGTCTATAGAAATATACTGGCAATTATTCTATAGTGTATTAACAAATTAAAAGTTCAGCATGAGAATATTTTCATTTCTTTAATTAAAGTAATAAATAATTTCACAAAATTTGGAAATGCTGCAGCATGTTTCATATTCAGAGTAAAAATAATTGTGAAGTATTATGGGAAAGTACTATGTATTTTTGTTTTCTCTCCCCTAAGGTAATTGTTTTTGTATATTTGTAGTGTTTTTTTATGAAGTCCTAGGATGAAATTTCATTAATAAAACAAATATAATTTACTTATGTATTCTGCTTTCATACTCAAAGTATTTTGACTATTATATAATTGGTCATCTCTGTGAAAATGCAGGTGACTAGAAAGTCAAATTTAAAAACAATTAAAGAGATATTTCATTCATAAAATCCTGTTTATATCTGTAGCTTGTATCTTGGAGTTACTTAGATATGGCATGTAGTTTGATTTAATGAGTAAATTTTTCTCTTTCACAGAGTATTGAAAACAATTGGCGATGTGGTCGACATAACCTACAAAGGATCAACTGTCGTAGTGAAAACAGCAAGGGGGTATATTGCTTACAGTATGATGATCAAAAAATTGTTAGTGGACTAAGAGATAACACAATAAAGATATGGGACCGTACTTCCCTTCATTGTCTGAAAGTGAGTGTTTAAGTTTTTAATTCAGTTTTCTTGTTTACTGTCTTAAAAACTATTTAGATAGTGTGAACTGTTTGCAGAGAAAATTTGAAGGATAAACAAAAGTTATTTTTGTTTGAAAAATATACAACCTTTCTTTCTGTTAGTTTTCAATAGTTTTCAAGTCAGAGCAACTGAATAAAAGGATTATTTTTTCTTTTGTGTGTAATGATGATTACTGTATCATTACTGTAGGTTCTGACAGGACACACAGGATCTGTTCTCTGTCTTCAATATGATGACAAGGTTATAATTAGTGGGTCCAGTGATGCCACAGTTAGGCAAGTATTATTTTGTATCATTTTTCTAATTAACTAACCACTGATTATGCTGTATTCAACATGAATTGCATAAATGATATTTTCATTTCCAGAAGTATTACCCATATTTGTTTTTGTTTTTACACCTGTACGAGGTTAACCCATTTTTACATAAATACATATGCACTGTCATAAAAAAAAAAATAGTTGAATATGTGTCATTACTTTTACATTTCTAAACTTGTAACCAGCTTATTTTTGTACGTTAATAACTTATTCTGTAGTGATTTTGCCAGTGTAACTAATTTAGTTGTTGTTTCTAGTCTTTTGTTACATCAATAAATCTTTAAAAAAAAAGACTTGTGGATAAAAAATAAAATATAAGTTTATTATAAACTCGGTAGATTCTATATGTAGGGATGGCCAAGGTACTCAATAGGCTTAATATAAATATGCATGCTAAAAAATCAACAATGGTAGGAAGTTTTACTTTAAAAAAAGATTTGCTAGTCACTTGTTTCTCTGTTTGTTTCTCTACCCAACAAGCCCAAAAACAAGACAAGAAATCATTGCTACAATACCAAACCAGAAAGTGACCAACCCACCAAATTGTTCACCTTCCTTCTTGTTTCAGTCGAGTTAACTCTAGAACTACTTTATCACTAACATCAGTTTAAACCTAAATCCAATATATGTGTTTCAGGGCATGTAGTTTTAGAAAAATAAAATATTTAATTTAGATTTTTTATACTATTTCTAATCAAAATTTCATTATTTAATGTACTTATTTGCACTCAGACTCTGAATGGTTCACCTGTAAGGTGATTTTTATATGAAGTGTAAAGTTACTATTTTGGATGTTAGTTTCCACATTTCATTTGCATAATCTCTATAACCTCATAAATGAATATCTAAAGTTTTTAAGTAAATGTTTATATTTTATTTTCTATTTTATCTACTATATTACTAACTATACCTATTATTATGAGTGTACAGTGCAATGAAATGTTTAAAATTAAGAAATCGAAATATGTACATACCTTTTAGCTCATTGTAGAAATCTTTTGAAACTTTTTTTTAATATGCTTAACTTCACATCTTAATCCTTTCACTTATAGTTTATTTTTAATTTTCCTTTCCAATTCTTTTTTTTTATGTTGATATGTCAGCTGACATTCGTGGGGCTTTATTGTTATTATACAGTGACCCTCCCTGTGCTTTGCAAGTGCGAATGATGCCATCTTGTTTATACACTTTCACAATCCCGGTATTTAGATAAACTTTAAAAAAATCATTAAACCTTTCAAGTATGATTTTTAAAACACAAGTAATAGATAATTAACTAAAATATAAAAGTAAGACTTAAATACAATTTAACTGTCTCTCTAACTATAGCATACTTAGGTAAGAAACCACTGTAAGTGCTATAGTCGATCAAGCAGAGAACAATACTAACAGCAGTTACATGTATACCATGAGGAAACTGTGTGCCAATTTCAAATTAACCATTGGTGGAGTACAATGTAAACTGAGCTCTTTCTAACGACTTTATACACTTGTGTCAGCTAAGTACATATATGTTGTAGACCTCAAGGCAAAGTATAGAAGATGGGCATGGCACCCATCAAAGGTTGGAAAATTTATTTCTCTTTCCCAATGAATACAGTTGTAGGACTTTGAATGTCACATAAGAATAGTTGAAACATACATACCTTAGAGTCTGGACACACATGTACATTGGTGTCTTAAGTGACTAAGAGTGGAACACTACTAAAGTCAAGATTTTTCATAGCGCGTGGATCATATGACATGAAAACTGCAGTTTTAATTATTTTTTTAAAATGTTTCCTTTGAAACAAAGGAATTATAAGTTAGATATCAAAAATTCAAATTATAACATACATTATAATGTTAATTTCATTGACATACATTGATAATAAAGTGATTTAATTAAATTTTGAATGTAATGCAACACCATATACAGAAAGGAAATGGCACAGGGGCTATAGAGTTAAAAGGCTTCAGTACAGAATGAAACAGTAATTACCAGACAATAATAGAAGAATATTAGATGACTGTAACATGTAGAATACTCAGTGCTTTGTACCTATACAGTTGGTGCCTTTAGGGAGCCAACCCCTGTATTTTATATCAAGTGAAGGATTAAAAAATAAATCAATACACATAATATTAAATATTATTACACACATTTATAGAATACACTAACTTCAGTAAGAGGAAAAAAATCACAAAACAAGTAATAAAAAACATTTTGTAAATGTAAAATGATATAGGAATGACATTAAAATTTAACGTTACAATGTACAAGACATACTTGACTTTAATATTACTGCAGTTGGAAGTTATATATTCATGACTGTTGGTTTGCAGTTTGTTTATCAAATATCATGGTCATGTCAGGGTAGGCATCAATATAGTGTATCTAAGATCCTAGGCCTTACAATGAAAACCAAGTTGAGTCATAATATGTCTTGATTATTACGGACTCTCTCTACAAGGTTGGTCAAATTGACAGGCCTCATAATTATTTTGTACTTGTGAATTTTACAGTGTAACATTAAATTTTATTATTGAAAGTCATGTAGTGATGATCTATGTATAGCTGTATCATCCCTATATTCTTGTTTTCATTCTTTTTGGCACTGCTATCCCCATATCATATTACATTTACAAAATGTTTATTACTTTTTATTATTATAGTTAGAAGATAAGGTAAAATTAAAATACATGACACATAGTTACCTATAAGCAAAAATAAACATTAGATATTCTTGAAATTCATTATGAAGAATATTTATTGCTGATAATAATTACTTTAAAAAATTTTTTTCAGGGTATGGGATGTGAATACTGTGGAAATGGTGAATACATTAATTCACCATTGTGAAGCTGTTCTACATTTAAGGTTTAATAATGGTATGATGGTGACCTGTTCAAAGGTTAGTGGTTGCTTTAAATGTAAGCTGTGTTAAAAAATAACATATAACTATTCATATGAAAATTGGCTTCATCTCTATATTTTTTATCCACCACATATTTAACCTGTTATGTCATGTGTACACCTGTAAGTTGTTTTATTACTCTAACTTTTTGTTGTCAACCCTTTTATCATATCATTTGGTCTAAAAATAATTTGATAGGATAGATTCTGATCTGTGACTTTGGTTATAGTTTCTTTTGATGTTCTTTCATTCCTGACTGTTTTGTGTTAATTTGTATCTAATCAAAAACACCTTAGGTGTGAGAAAAAATTTGCAACCAAAAAAAGATTGATTGTGCAACGTAAAAGAATGAAATCAAAATTGGCAGCCAAACTGGTAGCTACACTTATAGCTTTAATATAAATTTTACAGCAAATATCCAGGCCACGTTTTTTTGTCCAACTTGGTGCATGACGGTGGGTATAACAAAATATGTGGCCTAGCTAACTAATGAATATTTGCCGTAAAATTCTTAATAATGCTATATGTGTAGTTACCAGATACCAGTTAGGATAATTTTATAACATTTAGTAAATCTGTGCTGAAAGTTGGCAATCAGTTAGCAATAGTAAACTATTTGGATAACAGAAATTATTATTTAATTGATAGTTATTATTAAGTTTATTGTGTTAAAAAAGCATACACAAACAACTTATTTACTGAAAGCTATGTTAAATATAAATTTATCTTGACCAATAATATTTTTGGACAAAACCGTTATACAATGCCTGACAAAAGTAACAATGGCATCATTTTGAAGGGTGAGGCCTTAGGTCACCAATAAAAGTTTGTCAGTTTTTGCCATGTTTTGTATGATTTGTAGCTAAAAATGGTGTCTGCTATAATTCAGAATTAAGAATCAAAATTACTGAAACTGATGTATAAAATGGGCTTTTCTGAGATGAATAATATAATGAATAAATTAAGTTCTAAGATGAAAGGTAGTATTTTTAATGTTTTTCAAAACATTGAATTACAAAAAATTTTGAAAATTTCCCAACCTAAAGAGTTGTAGAGAATACTATATACTGCTAAATTTCTAGTATGTTTTGTGGAATTAGGTTTAGTATTACTACCATGAGAAAGGGAAGTATTTGAATATTGATGACAAACCTCTGATCTTGAAAGGGTTAATTAAGTACTATATTAGTTATTAAAGTTGAACTTTTTTAGCTGGATACATATAGGGGTACTGCTTGATTGATGTTGAATAATCTTTGTTTTGTTTTGTTTCATCATATATAACTATATTTATTAATCTAGTATTTGTACATTAAAAGAATCAATTTGTAAACCACACCTTATAAAGTGTGAAAAAGGCCTTTGTGAAGTTTATTTTTGTCAAAGAAGTTTTACCAGAAGAAAAATTATTTTGTTATATAAAAGTATTTTGATTAATTTTTTGTATTTGAATTACATTTTGTAAGTCTTTGTAAATGCATAAAAAAATCTTAGCAACCTTTGAGTATCATTATAATCCTGGTCTGAGTGTCATTGTCTTAATAGGAGGTAACAGGATGAAATTTATTGATTCACTATTAAACCTTTTGTTCCAGGATCGTTCCATTGCTGTTTGGGATATGGTCTCTCCAACAGAAATCAATCTTAGGAGGGTCTTAGTGGGTCATAGAGCAGCAGTAAATGTTGTAGATTTTGATGAAAAATACATTGTTTCTGCCTCTGGAGACCGTACAATTAAAGTTTGGAACACATCTTCATGTGAATTTGTTCGAACTTTGAATGGTCACAAACGTGGCATTGCTTGTCTTCAATACAGGGATCGTTTAGTTGTCAGTGGCAGTTCAGATAATACCATTAGGTAAAAGTTTTTATGTATATATATAAATAAGTAAAAGTTATAAGCTCACCTTATGTCTTAGACCTGTAGCTTCAAATGATTTGAATTTATGGGAACTTGAGAATTATACAAATGTAGAAATGTGCATTTACCAATTTATTAGCTTTTTAATTTCTGTTCTTAAATCTAGGATATATTTGTTTGTTATGGTGTTGCCATTTACTCACAATTTTAAAGTCATTTGTTCATGATCAGGACAGCAGTAAGTTTGTGTACTTAGAAAGCAAAAGTGTGGGATTCAATTTCTCGTGGTGGACAGTGTGTAGATGACTTATTGTTTAGCTTTGCCTAAAAACAACTTTCAGTGAATTAACCCTATCACCCCGGGTATCCTTTGCTGCACATGAAACAAGGTTTTAGTGTCTTACATTCTAAAATTTTATTAAACTATTTTTATTT